AATTTCAAACAGTTCCAAGATTGGGCTACTAGTCCAAAAGTTACAGCCCTTTGAATTTTCTTTCGAAATTGGTTTCTAGTCTATAATTTTTGATTGAGAAGTCTTATCGAAAAAGTACGAATTGTTTTGGATTCTACGCACCAAAATCCACCAGCCAGATCGACCCGGAAAAAAATTTTCTTAGTTGAGAAATCTTAATCCTGTTTGTAAAGTTATCAATTTTTCTAGCTGCCTTTCGAACTTCAATAGCTATCAGTATCCATAATTTTGTTTACTATGGTTTAGTTAGAGTAACGTTGTCACCTTTGCGTCGGATTTTAAAAAATCGTCTATTTTCGGATTTTCCATTGACCTTTTCTCTTGGTATATAGGTTGATGCTTCTCTTCACTAAGTAACAACTTGTGTTGTGACCGTGTTTTATTCGGATAGTTTGGGAAACCACCATTCTTGTAACCAATTGATACGTAATATCTTTAGTTTTCGTTGTTAGTTTCGTCACCTCCTTTGTCATCAACGACCAGGGACCTATAACACAAACTATACAATTTTAACAAGTCTACAAAGTTACAAGTAATCTGTCTGTAACTATAACTACAAGTCCTATACTAATGAATCCGGTATATATGCAAATGAGTTGTGCTATGAAAAAGTTACAAGTGTAAAATAAATTCTAACAATTGTAGGACTTGTAGGGTTTGTGTTATATAAGGCAACAGGGGTCTGTATCACAGGCCCTAAAATTGTTAAAATATGTTCATGTACATGCCTATTTAAAATAAGGCGATAGATATTTGTATAACTCTTGTTAACTCGTTAACACATTTCATTATGTTGGTTTATTGGTAGTTTCTTTTCTATTGAATACTGATGAGTGATTGATTGATTTTATCGAAATTTAAAAAGTACTTGCTACTATAATTAATAGTTTCAAATGGGCCCAGAAATTACGTATTAAAATGCTTTATTCCAAAGTGGCGGCAGCGACTCATTTTAAAATAATGCATTTATACTGCATTTGCAGTTGAAGTGGACTGACCTACATTTTCTCTATTAAATAAATTTATAAACCGTGCTATCTTAAAGACCCTCTTCCAGTAAGGAGCTGTCCGAATTTTTTCAACTTAAAATATTCACCCTTCTTTCATCTACAACTAGTAATCAATCATTGACGTTAACATCTTTACGCGGCGGGCGGCGCAGGGATAAAATCGATCCCTTTAGACAAGTTACCAGTCGCGATTGAATCTTAACGCCTTATAAAGGTGAAAGACTCGAAATTGGATTCAGATGCTAAAGCTTAGATATTGTCCATTTTCTGAAATATAAATTTCTCGATTTTTTTAAAGATAATTTTACGTTAAACCTTTTAAAAAGATTAAATTTTTGTCCATACTACGTGCCTTCATTTCCATTTTACCGATATTTACCGCTTTTGGTCATTTCAGTTGATACATGGGCTCCATTTTATTGCTTTTATGTTATTGGTTCCATTCAGGTTATTTTACTACTATTGTTGTGTATTTAACTGAACATGCTACATAGACGAGGTATGCATTTATTTCTGGTGTAATCTCTTGTTTTTCAAATTTCACCTTTTTTATAGTTGACTTTACTTTAGTTGTTCAAAATGATTAAAATATCGCAAGGTGAATACTGAATATTAATATGGGGATTGGGAGATCAGAAGATAATTCATAAAAAGTATAAGATCCACTGATATGTCGTTTCTATTGTCGGCAAAAATAAATATTACAATGGCGCACAAATTTATTAGTTTCCGGTTGCATAGACTATTTAAATACTAATTAAAAGTTCAATACACAGATTTTTATTTCATCAGAAATGGTCCTCACACAACTTTATTTTCCCTAATAAAAGAAAATGGTACATATATCTCTGCGTAGTTCCATAAAAAGTTCTTCCGTTACAAAGAAATTTATATTAGTCTGAGGCGGCATATTTTCAATACTTTACATACAAAGATTGTGTAATATTCCGTTAAATATATTCAGCCGTATACAGTAGTACAAAAGAATTCGCAAGTAGGCTATTGTGCAACTGAATTACGACAGAGCTTTAAGGGATGCTTTATGCGGAGGTGGAAGAATGATGTAGCTAAGCAGAAATTGAACCCCTTTACACGTTGTAATGTTTAGCAGCGGTATAAATTCCTGAACCCGTAAATTGAATCACTGTTGATTAGTTGTATTGTAGCTAAGGGTTGATGTATTAATTAGTTAATAGGTTTCGCGTTTATGTGTATAATTTGAACCAAGTCTTTTATGGGAATGAAAGATAAACAAAAGGTCATCGGCACGAGTGAAATTCTGATCGAAAAAAATATTCATACACGCAATTACCTTTATTAAAGAAGCAGTTTAGGTCAATGGTAACGTCCTTTATACCATTTCAACTATGATTTTTCATTTTTCATATCTAACATTTATTTATTGGAAAGAAAACTACAATATTAAGATACATTGTGGGGAATCTTCACTTTTTTGTTCGATGTCGGATTTGGCAACCGTCGATGACTTCCATTCTCAACGTCGTTTTAACGAAGTGATATCTCTACTTGCAGGAATGCATTAATAATGTTAGTCTGCTTATACAGGGTGGAAATTTTGTTTGAAACATATGTCTAAAAAACACATTGCTTTTAAGAATCTGATGGTATCTAAAATTAAAACAGTTTACTACTAACTTAGGTACCTACTATAAATTTATGATCAGTGGCGTATTTCTGCATGGTAAGGAAATTGTTTGAAATTGCGATGAACTTTCGCCGAAACACGAAAGCGAACGCGTCTTCTAATTTTGCGGATAATAATTTAGTACGCAACTCGTTGGCTTTTTCTAATATTTCGGGTGGAACGCGTTCACACATTTTAAACCAATTTAAAAAAATTGGCGATTCTATTACCACGGTTGCGACCTACGCTAGCCTTGAGAAACATTTTGCTCTCATGATAAATTATTAATAAAAATAAAAAACGATTTATGATAAGATAAGCTTCAGTGTTATACAAAATCTTATAGCATGGTATTTTATAGTTCAAAGGACTCTGCCTCTTACAACCTCACACCATTCGGTCTCTCGGATTTAAAATGGTGCATCGTCCTGTAAAGTGCCCATAAAACACCTACTTATCTTAATAGCTATAATTTAAGTCATTTATTTTTATTACTATATTAATAATGATAAAAAAATCGCAAAACATGAACTACAACACAAAAAACGTAAGCAATTAAATTCATATGTTTCAACTGATCCTAATATTATTATTTAGCGTCCCGTGGATGCTATATAGGATTGAAATTGGACTATTAATTAAGTAGTCAATAACAAGTCTCTGGAAAGTAAAATGCGAATACCTTTTTTTAAATAGTTCCACAGTTTTTGAGGTCACATTAAGAATTGCACCTGGATTTTTTTCCAATTTAAATTCTCCGTGATTAAATGTCTCACGCACCCTCGTTCAGGGATTCATCATTTTAGAGTAGGAATTTTGGAAATATTTTTATAAAGAAAAAAAAGGCATACACAAAGACCATCCAATTTCATGCTTCTCAGGAAAAAATTAAGAAGAAAGGCAAATTTTGAAAGCATAGTTTCTACACGAAACGTTTTAGACATTCGGTTAACTTGGAAAAAACGCTTGTTTGAGCTTCCTCTGCCGCTCACTTTTTTGACGTACATAATTGTTTGTAAACGACAAAGGCAAAAGGTAAATGACAAGGCAATTAACAGTTGATTGCACATTACCAACTTCTGTATTTAACGTATTCAATTGCCGAGAATGTACGACAACGGCAAGAGAAACGACAAAAGTACTTTAGAGATTATCTGCACTATGTCAGCTCCAGTATTTCTGGTATTTCATCGCAGAACTTCAGATCCTAAATACTTGAGTTAGATGAGTTCCAGCTAAGCAGAACATATCAATCATAGGTTCGTGAACTCGCATTTCATAAGAGATATGGATGTTTTAATGGTCGTTACACGAAAGATGAACCTAAGCAAACTACAATACCAATATCAGACTAAAATCAAATTAATTCCAACTTACATACCTCATTAATAAAAGGGTTTCGGATTGCAGTATAGGTGAAAGAGAGATAGGTTATTAAATTAATTTTAAATTAACTTAATGAGGAATCCGTTGAAAATTTTAATTCAACGACAAAAGCAAAGATACAGTGACACGATTTAGAACAGTGGTGACAACCGGGCATCTCGTGTTTTATTGGTTGCTGGTTCCAGTCGCCATTTTGGGGCTAAACTTGTATACTTTAGTATAGGAGTTCACACGTTTTTTTTTTGTTTTCTTGCGAAATTCTGCGATCAAAGATGATGCTTAAGGTAAAATGTGTATTGTGCCATAATCTGAGAGACACTTGGAAAACAATTTCATCAAAAGGCACTTAAAAAGAAATTGAGTCCAATCGGAGAACATAACGAGAGTTTAAGAAATTGAAAACTGCTTGAGGAGATTTTGGCAACTTGAAATAAACTTAAAGGTCACATAAGAAGACCTTGATAGAATATGATAGAAACTTTGAGAGAAGCTTGTACGCAACTTGAAAGAACCTTCATAAGTAGTTGGAAGAAGAATTTGAGAAAGCCTTTAGAAGAACTTAAGAACTCGAGAAAGGGTTAACGAAGCTTGGGAATAATTTTATAGAGCTTAAGGGGTTTAACAAATTAAGAAGTGAACGTAAAAGTATAAGGGGAACTGGAGAGGAATTTGAGAACAACTTGATGGGATCCTGCGAAAAGAAACTTGAGAAATACTTAAAAGAAAATTAAGGGTGGCTTGTGGGGAATATGAAGGGAATTTGAGAGGAACCTGGGAAAAATAGGAATGCGAATGATTTGCTTTGGAAGTTTTTTCGTTTACCAATAATTATTTCGAAATTTAGCGAATGTTTCTATAGATTCAGGAAATACTAGCGCCATTCGTAGGCAACACACATGGCGTATTCCGTCTATTATGACCCCTATCACACAGTACATTTGTTTACTATCATGTTCTATAAATAGGTAATTTAAATTCGAATGTTAATTAACTTATTATTGATATGTGTAATTTTTTAAAGTTATTATCTTAACATTCTCTAATTTATTGTCTTCAGCACTATACAATTCTAACCTACCAATAATTTATCGACAATAAAGGTTTAAGGTTAATATTGATAGAACGACTCAACATTTTGAATGTTTGTTGAAAATGTAGATTCAATAATCGTAAACTTGTTTCAGATACAAAATGAAACCCATCCGTTTTGGCGTACTAACAGGTGAGTACAGTAACTGTCAAATGAATTTCTATTATTGGTACTGGATGTATGATGTGGAGTAAATCATGAAATCTGCCCAATGCACATACAGAAATAAGTATTTGGACGATATAATAATGCTTTTTCAAATTGGTTCATAATTAAGTTTTGTTTTTATTGGTTTGTAAACATTTCAGTTAAAATGCCATGCAAAACTCTAAATTAATTACGTTCTCTGCTTCAACAGTCAGCGATACTTGCTTTTCTAAACAAAATCAAGATCTAAGCGGGCCCAAGCTGCAAGAATGCATTCGAGCCAGCTTCCCTGACGCCAGCATAATTGCAACACGAATTGTACCAGATGAGAAAGAAATGATCAAAAATGCCTTACTGGAATGGTCGAGTCAGGGAGTCATGGACGTCATATTGACGACTGGTGGTACTGGGTTTGCACAACGTGACGTAACACCCGAGGCAACTAAGGCAATTATCGATAAAGAAGCGCCCGGATTGTCCTACGCTATAATATCAAAGGGCATGGCCGTGACGGAATTAGCTGTACTATCAAGGGCAGTTTCCGGTATAAAAAATAAGACCTTGATTATTAATTTACCGGGAAGCGTCAAGGGGGCGTCCGAATCTTTTGGTTTTATAAAAAATGTTTTGAAGCACGCCGTTGCTCACGTTAGAGAAGACCGAGAGACTATCAAATGTGATCACAAACATATTCGGGACTTATCGCCTAGTAAGGTAAGTTAGCTTTTTTTTGTGAAAAGTAATAATTTCGTTAGGTAACGTTTGCGTTATTAAAACATAATGACAGGTGACAGTACAATAATAAAAAAATAGCAATTAATAATAAGTAAATAAAATTATAGGGAATTAGTTTAAAAAAATCTCTTCTAAACGTATAAAAGGTACGTATAATAATCAGGGTTCAACTTCTGATATTGTTTGTTTTTATTTCACCCCATCTCCGCAACTTATTTAATGTCGTAGCAAAATATTTCTCCAACGCCACAATCTCGAAAGCTCTATCGTATGCTGTGTAACAATATTATATATCCTCCAGCAATTTTCTAAGATTACTTCTAAACATTCCCTTACAAATCTCGGTAGTATATTTTCGGAACTTGGAATATCCGTAATCCTTTTATCGCCATGTCACTTCTGGTTTCCACATATTTCACGAATAAAAATAAATTCTCTTTGAGGTGTGGCAGTTTTTCTTTTATCTTGAAAGAAACCTCGGCAATATTTACATCAAATATTTAAATTTTGATGGATTTATAAAATTGTTGTGCGTTCTTGGTGTTTTGAATTTATTTAAAAGGTATCAAGGTGTCAAACTTGTAGACGTGATGTTCATTTTTCTCCTGATTGGATTTGAATAAGTTATACGATTATGAGTGAACTTGCAAAAAAGCCAAACCAATAAAAGGCTGGTTCGGTAAATCTTTCTCACGGAGGGGTGTAAAGTTGTATTGGTATCTTGCAGACAGTTGAAGATTTTCTTAGGTTCATGGTATAAATTCTTCTTCTGTTAAAGTACTTTTGCAACTTACCTTTTTGTACTTTTACTTCCAGCTAGCTCAGGTAAAAAATGGTATAAAATTAGAAAAGAATTTAGTTTATTCCATTTTCACTGATATATCATTAATTACCAGACTACTTTTCCTGCCGTCACTTTACCGGCCTCACCTGTCACATTGGTAATGGGAACGACGAACGTCTATCACTGACAGATCGACATTAATCAAATGTTCTAATGAAAATTACTTCAGAAAATGGTAAAAAAATTTTTGAAAAAACACGAGAAACTTTGTTTTGAATTTTTAAAACAAAGATTTAGTTTAGCTGTTCAGCAGGGAAATGCGGCTTGTATTTTAGGCACTTTACCGCAACAGACAGCATTTAATGAAATTTTTTATATTTTAAGTATACGGTAAATTTTTTAAAAATGTTTTTTAAACAATTTTATTTGTAATATTTGAATGTTGTAACCTTTTGTTAAATTCATAAATATAATATTTTGATATTAAAAAGATTTTATATTAATATACCACTTCGGGTAAAATTTAATGCAAAACTAGTCAGTAAAATGATAGTAGGTGCTAGACTCAGAAATTTCCTCCCCAGTAATATGCCATTTTCCTGAGTTTTATGTAAATAACTATTGTCCGAAATCGTCATAAAATCGTCATTTTCATGCCGCCTTTCATTACCAGACTCCTTCTCCTGTCGCCTGACACATTGCTAGACTCCCGTCATCACTGGCACATTAGTATTAATCAAAAGTTCTGTATGATAATTGAAATTTTATACGATTTGAGAAAAAATGTAATACAAAACAAGTCAGTAAAAGGGTCCGTAAAGTGAGCAGACATGAAAAACAAAACGACGGATTTAGGTTTAACCATTTGTGCTCTGTTTGTGCTGGTTTGGGCCGCATATTAAGTATCAACAGAACCAACCATAGCAAAAATTATGGACAATTCAAAATGCTCAGCTGACTTCACGTATGAAATTAAAGCCCAAACGAAAGGTATTAAACCCACGTTTGTGTTTCGATTGTGCTCGTTTGTGCCGTATAGTAAGTATCAGCACAACCTACCATACACACATTGTGTCAACAATTGTGTTGTGCAAAATATGGCTGTGCATGTGGGCGTGATACGCATAGCGTCACTGCATATTCGTATGTAACTGCATGGCTACGAAACTTTCTGATGTAGTGTATAAGATAGATTTGTGTGAAAATTATTATTAGTGTTCAAGGTATATTTACTTGAAAGATCCTCGTAAATTTGAATAGATGGCTCCATCAATTGTTGCGTATCGATTTTCACTTTCTTTCTGTCGAGAACCGTATCAGGTTACACTTCATTAAAAACCAACAGCTGAGGCGTTAGTTGAGAACGCGTGGAATTTTAATTGCCATCATCCATATTTTATTAATCTGAGGATTTCGGAAATACTCTTAGGACGGATTCACCTAAAAACTCCAATAGAGAGGATATAATTCAAATTTAATTCAAGCATAAGGACCAGCCTAGGTTTCGAAGACGCTTTACCTAAAATTCTGTTGACGTGCGAGTATGAACCTTGGGTTAAATTCACTGTAGCATGCGAGTGCCAACACCTTCCACATATCTTCCACCTACTGATAACAAGCGGCCATTTGCTGGAATTGGGTCACGGGGTTATGAACGAGATTTGAGATCGGGATTCGATCCTCAATAAAGAAACAACTTCCGTAACTCTTTAACCGTTTAGCATATTGGTTGGTTAATAACTGTTTTGTCCCTTCTGGGTTAAATGCTATCACATTCAAGTAATTTGTTAACATGAGTACCTCCTTAATATCTTTGACATCTCGGTTAAGTTATGGTCGAGTTTAAAACGTGAATGTTGTTGAACTCCGCCATTTCCTTATAGAGAGGTTGGCCAATTAAGTACCATATTCCGAGTAGAGCGAGGCCCTTCAGGCGTTAGTCAATTAATTATATACCGAGCTCTGCGACTTGGGAGGTTTTCTTTTGATTATTTGCAGGTTTTGGATGCAATAACCGGACTCACTTCTTGGCGTCGACATTTAACTTAAATTAAGGTTATGCGTGCCTTATATGTTTTACTTGTACTTGACCCTATACTTGCGTATTTTTGTCCGGAATACCTATTTATTTGTGAAAAGTTGTTTTAAGATTCCGTAATCAATTTAATCGATCATTCTCGATTGGGGGTTTTGTTAAACTGGTGAATTTCAATTGTACATTGAAGTTACTAAGATTTTTGTGTAACGTAAGTTATAATTTTGAATATTTGTGTGCTACGCTATCCCATTGTGCAGAGAATTTTTATTTTTGCCATTTTTTTGAATAAACCGGTATTTCTTTTGGTACCTAAATTGATTTTTTTTTGTTTCTACTACCCTCGTATCTTCCCAATTTCATACGGTATGGGTTAAGTTAGAAATGAGTGGCGCTCCAGCATTGGTAAGTGCAACGAAGGACGAAGATCAAATGCCCAGAACAAACTACCGCTGTAACATATCTCAAGCTTGTTTTTTCATGTTTAACCCTGAGCTAGTTGGGCGTTTATACGCCCCGGCCGGTTTGAGGAAACGCGGCGCCAACTTTACCAACCGTTATATACCTGTTACTTGCACCATTGATTATACACACGTATAATCAATGCTTACACTTATACCTTACCATAGAGTAAATAATAATTTCTATCTAAATAATTTATTTACTCTATGACCTTATCCAGTCTATGAAAGGGCGATTTAAAAATATATAGAAAGCTCTCAGAAGTTAGTAGTTCAAAGCTTTCGGAATTAAAATCCTTAATCTTAATTTATTAACATGGAAACCCCCTTTTTGTTTACCAATAAAATATAAGGGCAGTTTGAAGTTACATCCCTTTACCTAAAATGAGCAGTTTTTGTAGCGCGGACAAGTTGGGGGCTTTGAGCTTCTCCCGATTATTCTCTATTTCATTAAACGATTGCTGTGATTACTGTGTTTGGATTATTGTAATTCCGCGCTTAAATTTTCTGTGTAAGCGCAAACTGAAGCGATAGATTGATTTCTTTCTAAAACTCATAGATGTTTAATGTGATCATTTATTATTTACTTAGCGCACTGTCATCAATTATTTATCATCATCGAATGCTCAAGTTGCGTGCCTGAGTGCAAATTATTACTTTGGGAAACATTCTGTGGAAGTAGTTAATTAAGCTCAAAATAATTACAAAACAAGCGTATAAAAACTTCGTTATTCTCATCACAGAAACATCTTGAAAGCTGTAAAATTTGAACCATCGGATGATGTATACATATTTAATCTTGCCATCTTTCAATGAGAAACGCTCGAGTTTCGCATCTATTCGAAAGAAAAGAAGAAAATATTGATTAGGTATGAAATAACAAACTGACGACGAAGTGCAATACGTAAATGAAGATTTACTACTTCAAATTAATTCAGAGTTGGAAATAAATTCGACACCTTCTATCATTGTCAATGGTAAACTACTTTTGAACTTGAATCGAGAGCTGTGAGAGAAAACGTGGATCCTGAGCTCCACTTAGAAGGAAAGACTAATTGAAGTGCATTCATTAGTTTCGAGATTAAAATCGCTAAGCATGACCATAAAAGTGTGGAATTTATAGCTTTGTAATAAATACTCCTAACAAAAGTTGGAGTTACCTAGTAAGAGAATTGTCGTTAGATAGTTTGCTGAATAAAGAAGTGAGATTGATAGTGTTAATATAGTAACTTAAAACAATAGCCAGGAGCCACGCGTTACTTGCATACTATCGGATGAACCCCGGTTCATAGCACAAGCCGATAACAAAAATCGTATTTGAAAAAACCCCCAATTTGGTTTAAATCCAGGGGATAGAAAATTAGATTCAGGTTACATGTTGAAGAGGTATAATTCTTAATTCATAGCAGAAATTCTGCTTGAAAAAACATGGCACTCTCACGATTCACCCTTTGATTAAATTAATTCATATTCTTGTCCCTCTTTTTTGATATAGATACCAAAGAATCAGGTTAGCAGCGACTTCGGCAACAGTGAGTTAAATTTCTTTTTGTAATTTTCCATATTCTCAATATGCAACTAACTCAATTTTCCGCTAATTTATTGAAAACTCAAAGCTCAATCTAATTGCTTGGAAATTGTGTGTTTAGTATTTATCGAGAAATTGTGTTTATCTATAAGTTGCTATTGACAATCATCATACACTATAAAAGTAGATATCCGCTTCTCCGTGTACCGAGTAAGTCTGCTATTGATTAGCAGTAAAGTGTGTCAATAGCCCTGCTATTTCTACAAACGTGATCGTAAAGATTGAGTGCCTATCGTGCACTCGGAAAATGAGTTTAGACGAAAGATAATCAAAAGGGAACTTACGATGAATGAACAAAGTGTGTGCTTAGTTTCAAAACTGGAACAAACTTCACAAAGTGTAAAGTTTATTTCCTTATAGGCAGACAGTGGAAAGAGGATTTCCGATTTTGGATTTGTAATATTCTCATTTAAATCTTACGTTTATCGGAAGTAATGGACCAAAAGAAAAAAAACCACTAACTATAAACTTAAATGGGTTTGTGCTCCAACTGAAATTATAGGCGAAACGGCTATTAAACAAGATATCTTCTTCTATATTACACTATTTTAAACCAAAACCTACTCACCACTGTCGCTGAATAATGGTTTGTTAGCAATGATGAATTCGAAATTTAAATTAAATCCATTTATTCAACTCGTGATTGCCCACAAATGTTGAGGTTTAATTTAAAACATAAACCGAGGGGTAAAGTATTTTCTGTTGTTGAGCTTTAGATCGTAAATTGATACTAGCTGTGAACGTAATTAGATTTCAATTTAGTTAATTATATAGACGATTCACAGTATTATTTTTGTCAGTGTCACCTGTCTGCTCCAGCTCTTTTATATAGCAAGCCGATTATTCGACCGTTTGACCTAGCCGGTCATTTTTTTGCGTTGCACTATTAGTTTACATTTGCACATGTTCCGTTGCTCTTAAAAATCTCCACGGAAAGTATTTTCGCTTCTGAAAATCGCCTCTTACGAAAATTGGCTGACGATATATTCGCCTTTGGAAAATTTGTCCTACGAGTATTCCTCTATAAAAAAAATTCGCCAGCGAGCTATTTGCCCCCACAAAATTAGCTCTTAGACCCAAAGAAAATCCAGGTGATTCACTTCGGTGTATTTTCCTCTAAATATTTACATTCAACAACACTCGCCTAGTAAATGAATTCACTCATTTTAAAAACAAAGTTTCCAAACGCCCTTAACACTTTCTCTAGGAAAATTCGCTAGTGGAGCTCTAACGAAAATTGGAATCAGGTTAATGCGCTTCGTCCATTCGATCCAGGAAGTTTAGATCCTGAAACAACTCGGATCAATATTCAGTTCCGGTTCCGGTTAGTAATTAATAAGGTTTATTACATAATTAGAACTGAAAGGGTAATTTGAGGGTATCTCCCTTGTGGACCAATTCTCGAAAGTGAAATAACTTTTGAGGTGAATTTTCGAATATTGAGGCGGACGGCGGAAGCTTTTTGCTGAAGTCGATTTTTCTGATGGTTTGCATCGAACTTTCCATGTATCTTATTCTGATGATTAATATAAACGGTTGTTATCGGTTTTTTTTATTGTCACTGTCCTTTGCTAGAAGGTATGTAAGGTGGGTATCATATTTAGAAGTCGTAAAAAACGGGAAATGGGGAAACAAAATGCTTCTATGTGTTTTTCTTTGTCTTGTAAGATAAGGTGATTAAGAAAGCTTAAATGTATTCTGGTGTTTGTTTCATAGTTTTACCAATTGTGTCTACATGTATCTTTTACTTCAAATATACGTAGGTAGTTTAATACCCATTCATTGTATGTAAAGGTAAATACGAGGCGTGTCCGAAAAGCATACGACCTGCATATCTCCTTATTGGTGCTATTCTTCATCGTCCGGGCCGTGTCATCCTTCGAAGTAGTCTTTAGTAAATCCAATAGAGAATGCTCACAGAATATTACAAATAGGACACTAATATCTAGATCTGAAATGTCAATGTTTACAATTTTTAGCAAAAAGGGGACCAACTCGTAGTCAGTAAAATTATCAAAACAGGCTTCCGCAAAAAACCACGGAGCTATAATCGTTAAATGACTGTCAAACAAATGTAGTAACTACAATTCCATTGTATCGAAAACAAATACGTAATCAAACGTCGAAAATAAAAATTACCTTTGTTGAAACGGCTTTTTGAGCGCAGAAAGGCGCTTTTCTGCCTTATCTGTAACAGATAAGAAGACAAACAAACAAATAAGAGGATATAACGTAACGCGCTGCCTTTTTATTTCAACTGCAAGTTTAATAACTTCTAACGAACAGGCTACGTGAATCACCCTGTGTAGTTGCACATGACTGTCTTACACAAATTAGCGCAGCTTTTCGCGTTTGTTTTTAATTTTTTTAGGCAACTGTGTTAATACTTTTCACTCTGAGACTCAGAAACTCCATATCAAATAAATGGCAAAATTAATGCAGTAAACAACTGCGATTTGTTGAGAAATGGAATACCGAATAACTTTTTATGTAAAGCATGTTTCCAAAAAGTGGATATTTCTTACAAAAATATAAAATATGTAAAGAAATCCATACTTTTAAAACTTTCCCGTAAAGTCTTTTGCGAGTTCTCTATGCTAATATAGCGAATTCTAAATTCTTCAGGAAGCGAAATTCGTAGATGATGATTATCCCGTTGCGAATTATTTCTGTGCGAATTATTCCGAGAGCGATATATAAAAAGAGATCAATATCCTATGAGCGATATATAAAGGCGTAAATTGTCCGTGCACGATTTATAAGGATGTATATTATTCCATACTTTTAAGATACCTACTTTGTAAAAGCAACCCTGAAGTAGACTCTTTATGTCATGAAAAATACAGCTTACACCTGCGTCAATTTCGTCCGTTAGCTCAATTTTTAGTGCGTTTTTGCAAATTATTTGTAAAAATGTAGCTTTGAATCTCATTTTGGCCGGCTGGTTGGCAGCAAATGCGGGCGCGTAGAAGAATGCTTGTAGAGGGTACAGGCATTCATGTAGGCCGTATAATTAACTGTAGGGGCGGAGCTACATGATGTGTGGTTGGCGACATCTGGGCGCCATCACCGAGCTTGTTATACTAACGTGGTGATTTTTCAGTTTTTTCTTCTTCTCTGCAATTCATTACGTGAAATATAGACTACTGTCCAATCAACTGCAAATTGCAGTTTAATTTATTTTCGCCTTTGTCGTTAGTGTTAACGCGAAGTAATTCCATTAGTTAATGTATTTCTATTCCTGATTCATTTATCTGGCAATACGATTCTGAAAGATTCGTCAAATTCCTCAGCATTCGTTCCACACGTGTTCATTTGGCGAAAGGTTAATAGCTACGCCGTATATGTACATACCATAAATCTTATGCAAGCCTAATCAGGCTTGCAGAAACTGCAATAAAAAGTGTAACTTTTAATTGAAAATAAAATTCTACAAAACAAGATGTGGATATACACATTTCCTGGTTAGGGCAACTGTTTCGACTTCAATTTAAATTTTTTTGATATTGCAATAGCATTGTAGATAGTATGTATAAGCCCACAAACACACAAAGGTTTTTCCGCCATGAGCTTCCGCAAATCGGAAAAAGGGAATACGGATTATAATCAGTTTTAATTCGAGGTCTAACCAAAGCGCGATTCGATAGATCTCCATTTTCAAAAGAATGCTTTCACAAAGTCTCATTTAATGAGTATTCACAATTCCTTTATTACAGGAAACATATTGCAGGTCAAAATACACCAGTCAGCCTATCGAAATAGAAACTCTCCGTATCCTCAAATTGATGTGGACGTCGCTTTAGCAATGATATTCGAGAAATTGCCAATTGCGTCGGTAACAGAATGCGTCGATATTTCAAAGTCGCTCTGCAGAATTTTGGCCGAAGACGTGTATGCGAAAGAACCGATGCCACCCTTCAATGCTTCTATAAAGGACGGCTACGCCGTGAAGACGTCGGACGGTGCAGGAGTTCGTAAAGTACGGAACGTTGTCGCTGCTGGCGACGTGCCCGACTCCGCTCGTCCCTTGGATGACGACGAGATTGTGAGTATCAGTACAGGCGCGCCTGTTCCTCAGGGAGCTGATGCGGTGGTGCAAATCGAGGACACGGTCCTAGTTCAGGCGTCATCCGACGGCTCTAGGGAATTACTGGTGGAGATTAAGGTGGCTCCCAAGCTTTATCAAGACATAAGGTGACTACAAATAGTCAAAGTAACGTGCCACTTAATGGAATTATTGTAGGCCGGTGGGAAGCGAGATAACGGCAAATGAATTGGTAATACACAAAGGTGATGCGATTACTTTTGGACATATTGGTGTATTGGCAACGCTTGGAAAAGTCAACGTTCAAGTTTACAAGTAAGTCCCTTCGTCATTTAGGCAGAATGCTCGAAAAAATTTTAGACGCCCACAAATCGGTTTGATTTCGACCGGTAATGAACTGCAAGCCCCCCACGAGGAGTTAAAGCCGTCTCATATACGCGACAGTAATAAATTGGCCCTTCTGAACCTTCTCAGGCAGTACAGCTATGAAGCCAGTGATTGTGGGATTGCCAAAGACAAGTAAAACACTCTTGCCATCGTTCTCATTGTAATTCTTGACTCTTTCAGTCCTGACAGCGTAAAGAAAGCGCTGCATTCCGCGTTAGCCCACTACGACGTTATCATCACCACGGGTGGTGTTTCCATGGGCGAATTTGACTTGATAAAAAACGTCCTCGAGGAAGATTTTAATGCCACGATTCACTTTGGAAGAGTGAATATGAAACCTGGGTATTTCACTAGTTCAACCGGAACACAAACTAATAATAATAATCTTTATAGAAAACCAACAACTTTCGCCACGTGCAACTTTGAAGGAAAACTGAAGGTGATATTTGGACTTCCTGGCAATCCAGTATCTGCAATGGTAACCACAATACTCTTCGTTATACCGGCTTTGCGCCACTTGGAGAATAGTAAACAAAAATCACTTCCAATGATCCCTGTAGTTTTGGTAAGTTGGCGTATATTGATAAATATTAATGCCCTTGGTTTTAGGGTGAACAATTTACTGTTGATCCAAGACCTGAGTACGTGCGAGTACGACTTGAGGCCGGTGACAATGTACTTACTGCATACTCTGTTGGGAATCAGATCAGTAGCAAAATTAACAGCTTCATTAATGCCAACGCTTTAATGTTAGTTCCCAGTAAACTTGTACATCCGAATAGTTTCAAGAAGGGAGATATTTTAAATGCGATCATGTTAAACTAGTACAATAAATATAAGAGCAATTACGTCAGTAATTTTAACACTATAAAAATATATACATAGTCTCAAAAGTGACAAAATCCTGTTTTTTCCTGTACCCATTCCTGTGGAAAATTGGGAAAGTGTTTTACTACATCAAAAACCTTCGCAGGCATACGTAATTGATACGTTTCACCATGTTTCACCGACTATTTTTTCGCCTTTCCCCTTAAGTCGACGGTATGGATTCTTCTCTAGTCGTGGTTTTTTTTTCCGTATTCGTCCAAATCGTTCTCAATTAAAAGGAATGCAAGGAAGATTACACATATTTCAAATTTTTGACAATTTTTACAACTTTTAGAATTCTCGAAAATTACGGCAGAAACGACATAATAAATGACATAAAAATATTGCATAATATAATGTTCAATGTTAATAATGTATACCTATTACCCGAGCCTATACCCATCGTGTATAATGAAAGATATTATGAAAATATATGTCTGGTCGAAAGGTACGGAATGTCGCCCGTACGAATTGCCCCGGGACCAATTGTCTGGAACCAATGGTCCGGAACGGAAGAAAATTATCCCGGGACCAATCCGGGGACAAATTTGAAATTACTGCAACGGCAAGACAAATGTCATAAAAAATTAGTTTATTATAATGTTTAATAAGCTGCTTGCCGACTTGCAAGAAGCACCATAATAATGAACGTGATACGAATAATCGCATACAATTTTTAGTAGGGGAGTTTTTCGACACACAACTCGAATTAATCCACTGATCCTTGAACTCGTCAAAATCGAGTTACGAAAGTTTGACATCGCTGTTTTCGTTCTCGAGTTAGACCAGTAAGAGACAGACGGACGGACAAAACCAACATTTCTGACCAACCGTATCTCGTAGAAAATTCAATTCTAAACAAATTCGTTTCTGTTAATTTTTTCCCTCAACAATGAGATATTCGAAGGCAAATGCCAAAAAAACGACGTTCGTTTATATCAATATGTTCCGGCCAGGGGGACGATAATTTTCGGATTCAGCGGAGTTAAGTGAAGTGACAACATCCAATCCAAACCGAAATTTGGCTGGACTAATACTACTACTACTTTTGGAAAGAATCGCTTTAGCTATATTCGAAATATGTTGGGAAGCGTTGGGAAGGTTATTACAAGCTTATAAGAACAGGAAGATCTAAGTAATAAATTAACCATTAATCTTGGATTCCACCCTCACATTATTTTGTACCTGTTACTTATTAGGAACTTCCATTGAGACCTGTCAATTTACAAAACAAAAAATGGTTATCTAAGAAATCAAATAATACGTTACTCATTCAATGATTTATTCACATTTGGGATCACAATGAACTCATTAATCAAAATTACATTACACAGTTGTGATCGCCCAATTTGCAGCCTAAGACACAGTCCTGCGCCAAACCTAAAAATTGAAATAAATGTCTGAATAAATATGACACAAAATTTTTCCAACATACCTTGTTTGACCATTGCCATAAGCCCAACAATTAAAATAAGAAAAGCCCGGATGTTGATCATGGTGAATGACTTGGTGTTAATAATAACGTTTACGGCCAACATCTATTTATACAGAGTGGCCCAACGAGAAGTATACAGAGGGCTTTTAGGGTATTAAATTTAGAAATTTCGAAAAATCCTCGAACACGTCAATTTTGTATTCGAGGGGGGAATACAAATCACGAACCCAAGTCTTCACCCCTCTACGTAGGGAGCTTAACCCCTAAAATTTTAAATGGAATCCTATGGCAAATGGCACATTATTTGAAAGCCAATTTAATCGTGATTATACTAATCTGCTTTGCTTTTTAAATTGTATTGATTCGTTTCGGAGATATTCGCATTTGAAATGATTTCTTTCCCCTGATTTAAGTCCTTTAGATTACTTCTTGTGAGGATATTTAAAGAATAAAGTTTATGCTACTCCGCCCGGAACATTACAAGGGTTGCGAGCACGTATAACCATAGTGTAAGAATAGAATACACTATGATATAACTCAACAATTTCGAGGGATTACCCCTGAAATCTTGCAACATGTACGGCAGCGTTTTGAAGCAAATCTTTATTATTGCATGGAAGCAGGCGGAAGGCAATTCGAGCATTTATTGAAATAAATGTTGTCTGTTTAATAAGTTATTTGTTATTTTTTGCACAATTTAAACCTTTTTTAATACAAAGTGACTTAGATCGCATTTGTTTTGGTTTTTTTAGAAAAAACCATTTCAAATGCGAATATCTCCGAAACGAATCAATAGAATTTAAAAAGCAAAGCAGATTAGTAATCACGATTAAATTGGCTTTCAAATAATGTGCCATTTGCCATAGGATTCCATTTAAAATTTTAGGGGTTAAGCTCTCTACGTAGAGGGGTGAAGGCTTGGGTTCGTGGTTTGTATTCCAAAAGTTGTCCCCCTCGAATACAAAATTGACGTGTTCGAGGATTTTTCGAAATTTCTAAATTTAATACCCTAAAAGCCCTCTGTATACTTCTCGTTGGGCCACTCTGTATAAGGGATTGCAGTGTAAAACAAAAGATATCGCGGCAATTTTAGAAATTTGAGGCAGATTAATTCTAGATAATACTTCCATAACTAATTTACATTTAATATGTATAAATGAGCAAGGAATAAAATAGTATACGTTATACGAAAAGTAATCCTGTCGCTAATAGAAACCTCATTTACCTAATCTTACACGAAAGGGGACATTAAATTTTATTCCAGAGTTAACCTGGGTAATGTGCTGACCCAAATGCAAATTATTTCATTTTCACTAAGGAAATACAAAGTCGCTTAAATGGGTGAAGTTACACAGAATAGTATACTGAACAATTTTCCCTTTCAAAGTCTCTTGTAGCTCTACAAATAGCGTAGTTGCCTTTGCGCAAACAACTGAAAAATGTCATTTACGAGAGTACTCTGGCATTAATTTACTTTCAATGAAATCAGTATATATTACGCCAATTTGTTTATTTCTATCCAACGTATTTGGCAGGTCTTGAGTAAAGATGATTAAGTTCGTACAGGTTGACCGTGGGAAAAATCTATGTTTCTCATTTCCATTTTATGCTTTAATATGGGGAAATATTTTCCAGTACAGAATTTTTTCAAATATTTTGGAAACGATATGTAGAAGTGATATGGGTCGATAATTTATGTTGTTTTTATCCCTGTTTTTGTAAATTGGACCAACTTTTGATAATTTCCATATCTCGAGATATTCCCAATTAGTTAAAACAAAGATTAAATAATTCGAATATCTCGTTAACCATTGCCCTAAGAAAAAAAATGAATGGAAATCAATTGGTTTAGAATTGAATTTTCTATAAGGTACAGTTGGTCCATGTTACCATGACAATTTGCAAAAACATTTGGTTCAACACTTGAATAGCACCACAGGATTAAAATTTAATTATATGTATGGCCAAAGAGTATTTCGTTGTATACTCTTTGGTATGGCGAACCTTGATATAACTACGGCGTCCATAAGAAATAAGAAAGTTTATTTGCTGGAAACCCACATGCCCTAAAAATTTTATTTTAGCACCATCACAACGCTGAGGAAAAATTACCAAGGGTTTGTTACAGACCCGTAGCCAGAATGAAGTAGCAGGGGTGGCCGGCATCAAGGTGGGGCTTAAGAAGTTTTTGATAAAGACTTCCGCTGTAATTTTTGTAATGAAACCATCAACAACCGTAATTTCCAGTGGGGCCACCCCCTGGCTACGGGCCTGGTTTGTTAAAACTATTTCTTGATATCTTTGACCATAACTTCGCTATTTGTAGATTTGCAAGACAATTTGAAAGGGAAAATTGATTATCACACACTTCTGTATAACTTCGCCCATTTAAGTAACTTAAATTTGAACTTTGGTTACGCCGAAATATTTTGTGTGCAATCTTCAATCTCCAAGTTTTGAAATTTGGCTTTCAGGTAACTAATCCCTTCCAAACTTCAAGTTTGAAGTTACGTTTCACGTTTCAGTCTCGACACTTCAAATACTTTGTGTGCCCATTAGCCTCCAAATATTAAACTTTAGATTTCAAGTTGAACTTTAAAGCAACTTGATATTTCGATGCAGAATGAACTAATTTTTGTACTCCCTTCTATTCCCGAATTTTGATATTTCCACATAGGTAGGTTGAAATTTAAAGTAAAAATATCTTCCAAACGCCAGGTTTGAAATCTAGTTCGAAAATCTTCAACCCTCTAATTTTGATTCTCAAGTCAAAAATCTAAAGCTAGGAATGCCTTCCAAGCCTTAGGTTTGAAAATTGCAGTTTGACAATTTCTGTGGACCCTTTCGCTACCAAATTATGTTAGTTTTGCAAAATAAAATTAGAGGTGGAGAGGTTTTCTAAAACTAACTTGACGGTTACCTTTATATGTACATTTAAGTTCTTACGCCATATTTAATAACTTATACGATTTTCCATATATCTTTTTGAATTTGGGAAGAAATAGTTCCTTAATAGATTACTTTGCAGAGTTTTTACCGATTATCTGGGTCGTTGTTATCGTTCTCATTGTAATTCTTGGCCCTTTTAGTCCTGTCACCGTAAAGAAAACGCTGCATTCCGCGTTACCCCACTATGATGTTATCATCACCGCGGGGAGTGTATCCGTGGACAAATTTGATAAATTTGAAAACGTCCTCGAGGAAGATTTTAAGGCCTCGATTCACTTTGGAAGAGTGAATATGAAACCTGAATACTTACTAGTTCAACCAGCGCATTAACTAATTTCGAATTTTTATAGAGAACCGACAACTTTGATGGAAAACTTACGGTGATATTTGGACTTCCTGGCAACAGTATCTGCAGTGGTAACCACAATACTCTTCGTCATACCGGTTGCACCACTTGGAGAATATTAAACTACACTCACTTCCAATGATCCCGCATATTGATAAATGGCAATACCTTTGGCTTTAGGTTCATTGGGTGCTTACTGCATACTCTGTTGGGAATCAGATTAGTAGCAAAATTAACAGCTTCATTAATGCCAACGCTTTAATGTTAGTACCCAGTAAACTTGTACAATCGAACAGTTTCAAAAAGGGAGATATTTTAAATGCGATTACGTTAAACCAGTATAACAAATATAAGAACAATTACGTTAGTAGTTTTTACAATACAAAAATATATATGTACATAGTCTCAAAAGTGACCAAAATAAATGCAACAATGCTTTTACTGCATAAGATCTACAAGAAACACTTACAAATAACATTATTATTACACGTGTATTAATCTTAATGGTTTGCACCAGTATGGCCTCTGCATTAGTGTGTAGGTCTGTTTAGGCTCGGCTGATGAAACCGCTACGTCTATAATTTCGAGAGCTTTAGAGGTGAGTATAAGAGGTTGATAGTCTAAAACGCCGCTTATGTTTAAGGCTACTTCATTGTCTTCCTTGCTGTAATTAAAACTATTAATAAATCACTCCAGAACCCAAGTAGAATTACCTTCTTATTTTAGGCATCGAATACATTAACTCTGGTAAAATACCACGTGGATCGATTGTAATGACCTTAATACCTAAAGGTGAGAACTCTTGGCGGAGCGCGTTGCTAGCGCCCTGTATAGCGTACTTAGTTGCCGTGTAGGCGACTAGTCCAGATTCTTCACCATTTGTTGAACCTATATTAATAATACGACCGCTTGTCTTACGCAACAAGCTTTGAAATATCCTTGCTGTTCTTAGAACGCCAATTACATTCGTTTTTAGCATGGCGTCCCAGTATGTCACATCTTGCTGATCAAACCTTCCCCGATATGAGATCCCACTAGTGTTGATTACTGCCCATATTCCTATAACAATATTGTTTATAGAATTAGATTCACTTATGAGTGAGAATGAAACAGTTTGAAAAATAAAAGAAAACTAGTGTTGCAATTATTTCGCATCTAATAGAAATCGCCGTAAACTAATAGAAGTTAAAAGTCTTAAGTTGGCGTTAGATTATCGACGATAACACAAAGTTGTAAAAATCAACTGTAAATGATGCGTGCTAATGCCCATTATAAGTAAAGTAAATGATAAACTTCTAATAAGACAAGACTATCGAAGTGGTTTAGATTCGTAGTAACGATCTCAAAATTACTTAGTTAAAATTCGTAAGTAAAGTGCAAATTGCGAATTACTATGAGAAATCGTTTACAATCTAAAATTTAATTCTGGAAAAATAAAGAAGTAAGTGCCTTGTTTATATTTACTTGAAGGGTTAGATGAAATACTGCAATTGTAGATAAATAATACAATACATATTAATAAAACACATAAACAGTTGCCACTTTCATTGTACTCGTATTTTATTAGCATCTCATGCCGCTGTTGTACAATTACATTTTAGAGCAAAATAAGGCAATTTCTTAACTTTTGACTTACAACAAACTCACTTTTGACTTAAAATTGAAACAAATTTTGGCTCTAAATATTTGAATAAGGTACAAGAATATTGTCGCTTTTTTTATTTTTTAGCTAAATTATTGAAAACATTGTCAAGCGGTTTTCAGTTTATAATTTAAAAATCCTATTTTTCGTTACTAAACTTCACCTCCATTTATTAGATACATCATAAGGGTTTTAGCTGTCATTCTTGTCATATCATATCATATCATATCATATTTATTATTTGTCACAAAATACATTCCATATACTTGTATAAGAACAGAACGTACGTAACAATGTGTCATGTGTAAAAATATAAATATAAATATTTTACACAAATTATAATGTTAAGGTAAAGCATACAATGAACAATAAAACAATAAAATCATCTTTCGAGATATTCGTTCAAGTGGTAATATGACTGCTCCATCAAAAAGTTTTTGAGCGTTATTCTAAATTTCGAAAAGGAAGTAATTTCTTTAATGTTGCTCGGTAAGGCATTGAAAATTTGGCACGCTCGGAATAACAAATTCTTTTGAAAGAGTGTGGTCCTATGTCTACAAGGATACAAGTGAGTTTTTTTACGTGTGTGTCGGGATTTATGAAACTTGATTGGTTTTTAAACGCGTAGCAAGATATTTCGAGGATATATGTGTCAACTACCGTTAGTATTTTTAACTCTTTAAAAAATATCCTAAGTACAGGGAGTTTTACATGGTAAGGAGGAGCTCGTTTTTGCAATACTAGGATCCGTTGCACATGCGCACTGCCACCCCAATTTGAAATATTATATTATCGAATGTGCGAGTGAAAGCTTGAGCAGTACACAGTAAGCAATGTGGATTTGTTGCATAATTTTTTTAACGCATTCAGTGTATAACAGCAGCTTCGTGTAAGTTTACAAACATTATCAATATGAAAAAACCAGGTGAGATCATGGCTTATTGTTAGACCGAGCATTTTAATAGTTTCAGAGCACTTCAAAATATTGGATTCAATTTTTGTGGCACCAAAAGGGATCACGGCAGTTTTACTGGAATTAAGGATCAAATTATTATCATTGCACCACTTATTTATTTGATCTAGCGTGTGAGTAATTTCAGTCATAATGATTTTGAAGAAGAATAGTTTTTACACAAAAATCTTTATAAAAGCAGAGAGAGCATATGTTTCTGGATGGATTTTTTTTCAATGGAAACGATTAGTGTCCATCACAATTATTACAAAACGTTCTGTTTCGACGAGCATTAGAGACTGGGTTTATTCCTAAATTGCAAAATTTCCAATTTGAACACATAACTGGAGGGATCTCTGAACAACATTATTCCGATTTATTGATAATAATAAAATTGATCCAAAAGTCAGCTGTTGGTTCGAGAAGAATAAACATGCATATATGTACATGCGAAAGGATAAAGCTGGATTCATATGAATACGAAATCCGACGATACGGTCATCCGAAATGCTTATGATTGGTCAATAGTTTGAAACGTCAAGCACTTTTATGCAATCTGCCCTTTTTAAAACAACCATAAATGAAAATGGTTAACGTCCAGGGAAAGAGACACAGGTGAATTTTCTCTAACACAAGAAGAAGAGAGATCCTAATTCGGTGTTTCGCCTTTTTTTCCTATTTCTACTCATTGGGACGTTCTTACAAACACTAACGGGCCGATTCTCAAAGACAATGAAAGCGAATATGCACAGATATCGCGGTCTTAAAAATGTTACCTTTGAAAATTATTAACGCGATTTGCTATAAGTACAAAAACAATAATAACGTTGGGTAAAGTAGGATTTCAACTTTCGATTCCACTGAAATTTATCAAACGCCTGCCGATGTAGAATTCAAATTTGTTCGAAACTACCATCCCGGCAAACTTCGTACCGCATTTGGGAAATCCTGTTTTTTCAGGTACCCGGTTCACATTTTAACCGTTGTCGTGGGAACTTCGGGAAGTCTCTTTCGGAGTACACTTTAACGTCGTTAAAGAAACCTGCGTTCTAAAAGTCCAGTCTTCTCTTTTCGACTGTAAAACAAAATCCTGTTTTTTCCTTTACCTGTTCCTGTGGGAAATTCGGAAAGTGTTTTACTACATCCGAAACCTTCGCGGTCATACATACGTAATTGATACGTTTGACCGACTAGTTTGTCGCCTGAAGTCGACGGTATGGTTCTTCTAGAGTCGTGGTTTTTTACATGTTTCCGTACATTTTTTTTGAAAATTATCTTATATAAACCTGGTCCTGATTATAGCAAACCCAACAAAAAAAATTATTTAATTTGGCACATCCGTTCTGAAGTTAGGCGCCTACATTTCGGTGATTCATTTTTATTTATATAGATACGAATACCCACGACCCTCTAAGGTTTTGGGCCTCTAGGGACGGTAGCGATTCTAAACAAATTCATTTCCGTTAATTTTTTCCCTCAGCAATATTTAACGAGATATTCGAAGGCAAATGCGAAAAAAAGACGTTTGTTTATAACAATATGTTCCGGGAGTTTCCGGCCAGGCGGATTTTCGGATTCAGCGGAGTTAAGTGAAGTGACAACATCCAATCCAAACCGAAATTTGGCTGGACTAATAATATTAGCTAAAAAATAAATGAAGACAAAAAGGTAAAAAACTGAGCAAGCTACTTTTGAGACAAATCGCTTTAGCTACATTCGAAATATGTTGGGAAGGGTATTCCAAACTTATAAGAACAGGAAAATCTAAGTAATAAATTAACCATTAATCTTGGATTCCACCCTCACATTATTTTGTACTTGTTACTTATTAGGTACTTTACTCTTCCATTGAGAACTGTCAATTTACAAAACAAAAAATGGTTATCTAAGAAATCAATAATACGTTACTCATTCAATGATTTATTCACATTTGGGATCACAATGAACTCGTTAATCAAAATTATTAAGGCAATACATTACGCAGTTGTGATCGCCCAATTTGCAGCCTAAGACACAGTCCTGAGAGGCTTGGCCTCCCAAAGCTAAAAATTGAAATAAATGTCTGAATAAATATGACACAACATTTTTCCAACATACTTTGTTTGACCATTGCCATAAGCGCAACAATTAAAATAAGAAAAGCCCGGATGTTGATCATGGTGAATGACTTGGTGTTAATAATAGTTTGCGGCCAACATTTATTTATATAAGGGATTCGATTAAGATTAACAATTTTAGAAGTGGATTATCAAGATGGAAATTCGTTAGCAGCATAGTTAGCAGAATTAGACCACAGTGTAAAATAAAAGATAATGCAGCAATTTTAAAAGTTTGATGCAGATTAATATATTCTAGATAAAATAGTATACGTTATACGAAATGTAACGGATTCCTATCAAAATAGAAACATAATTTACCTAATCCTACACGAAAGGGATCAGGGAGTTAACCTGGGTAATGGGTTGACCCAAATGCAAATTCTCAGATCAGGTCCCTCATTAAATGTCTCCCGAGGTAAATAATAAATATTAAGAAAAGTAGAGGACTCAAAACAGCACCCTGAGGAACACCTGATGTTACTTTGCATTTTTTTGACATACTACCGTTATATATTACCATAATGTAAATATTACGAGTACTACCACTTGCTATCGGTGCGTAAGGTATTAATCCAATAAAATTTGGCGAAGGACTCTGTCAAATGCTTTGGGAAAATCGTATACATTACTTCAATTTGTCTATTTCTGCCCAATGCATTAGCCAGGTCGCGAGGAAAAGTGATTAAATTTGTACAGGTCGACCTCCGTGGGAAGAACCCATGTTCCTCATTTATGCTTTAATATAGAGAAACATTTTTCGGTATAAAATTTTTTCAAATATTTTGGAAACGATATGTTAAATTGATATGGATGGGTCGATAATTTATTATGTTGTTTTTATCCCCGTTTTTATAAATGGGACCAACTTTTGATAATTTCCATATCTCGGGATATTCAAAATCAGAACAAAGATTAAATAATTAATAATAGTTCAGAAATAGACTCAGAACGTGCTTTACAGAGGGTGTTATATATAAAGTATGTAAAAAAAATTTGGTGGTAGAGGGGACCAAATCAAGTATTTTTTCCAAATAGACCGAGGGGAAATTTGCATTTTTTCCGATTTTCAGAACCGATAACATTGGAAACGACTGAAGAACCCAAGGTTGCTCTCGTGACGTAGTCACTCGTACATTAACATATTTCACTCGATGGTTAAAACATCCCTTTATCGTCTTGTATAATAAATAGCTATTAATTGATTCTTAATCTCTACTGTGCGCATGGCAAATAAACTCTCTGTATGCCGAAACCGAAACCACCAAAACCCAAAAGCAGCGAGTCGGTGATTACAAACATAGTTTTCACCAAGGTTCCACTGTATTATCAGAAACCTGTCACCCAAATTACTAACATACGAAGAGCATTTAAAATGTACAAAATTAAACCTGATACATTACAATTATAAAGTGAAACAGAGGGTATATATGATAGACAAAAACCATGTCAATACTACATCCACGCTTGGGGCTGTAAAATTTGAGTTTTCTATTCCAATGATAACGATCATTGCGGATCGAGAACGTCAGGTTGTATTGCAGTAATGACTTTCCTAGCATAGTATAAAGATACCTACATTTCCAAATTTTCTCAGAAACACAAAATTTGCAAATGGGCGCTCAAATCTCTACAAAAGTAGAAACTTTCAATTACCCCAAAATGAAAGTGAAAGAAACTTTTGTGTTTTGATCTTCCAAACGCCAGATTTGAAATCTAGTTTCTGCAACCCTGGATTTCAAGTCACAAATTTAAAGCTAGGAATGCCTTCCTAACCTTAGGCGTAAAGATTCTTTTCAGAATTGTAGTTTGGCATATTTTTTGTGGACCTTCTCTATCGTGGTAGGTATATATATTATTTTTTTCAATACTTATTAAAATTGACCATTAGTTTTGTCACACTGTAGAAGGGCGATCAAAATTTAAATAATTCGCATGTAGCATCAAATCAATATTGTTGATTTTGGAAGATTTTTTGAAATTCAAATCGACGGAGTCATAGATACAGGTACAGGAAAAGCAGTTAAACGTCAAAAATTTTGAATAACTTGAAAACCTTTGATGCTGCGGTATAGGGAAATGTGGGAAATCAAACGAACTAGATTTCGAAAATGGGACACAGGGTGCTCTATTTAAAAATTAAAAATTTTATCTACATCCGGTAAAACTGATAGTGAAACGATCATGATATTTTCTTTTAATAGATCATGAAAAGCTGTGTTGGTATGGAAAATTTCAGATATAAATTATTAATGGGAGTCTGAATACTTTTAGGTAACGGTTTGCGTGTAACTTCCATGGTAGGGAAGTCTATCAATGCCTTCGCACCTTACATCCCTCGGCGCAAACGTCTCGGCATGTAATGTAACACGAGGGAAAACAGGAAAGGGAACGAGACCAAAGGATAGGAACATCGGAAGCCAATGAACGCCCGGAGAAGAAGCTGTCACTAGAAAGCAGAGTTCCCTCTAAGGCAGAATACCAGTGGCGAAGGCAGAATACCAGTGGCGAAGCTGTGGCCGTACCCGTTCGGGTCGGATAACACCCAGTTAGCCGCCCCCCCCACAACCCCCCAATCCACAAAATCCACCACATTGTTTGGCATATGTCGCGGCCCAGCGCGATGGCAACAAAGTAGTGGAGAAACGTCCCTGATAGTGTCTACCAGGGACGCATCCTCACGACAGTTGACTAAATCCTGGGAGAGGCGGCGACGCCAGGCATATGTCAAAGTTTCAAGTTTCAATAGTGTGGACTCACGTTAGTGAGTAGTTACGATAGGGTCGACTTTGGGACTGGGGACCACCGAAAGCAACTGATTGATTAAGGACCATTAACTTTGTTCATTTCCACAAAGGAAAACAAATTGTTGTTGTATTAAATGTATAAATTTAACTAAACCATGCAAGACAGGCCCTAAGTAAATTACCTATTATACGAGAGTGAAAATTTCAATTAGAATTTTTTGTTTTATTTATTTATAACCTTCGTATAATTTAATAATCTACATCCGGCACTTGTAAAAACACTAATGAAAATAACTTTCATAGTTTGAAAAAGCAATGGCGAATAATTTATTCACCTAGCGCTGCAAATAATTGCAATTTTTATGTGTTTAGAAGAAATATGAAACAGTTTTGAAAGTTGACATATTACCTACTATCATTAAGAGAGAAAATATATAATAAAATTTTTAGACCACAAACGAAAGGTTGACTAATGACCAATTTTTTGTAACCGTCCTGAAATAGAAATTATATACGAAGTATTCGAAGTATTCAACCGTATAAAGGTTGTGTTAATTAATATCTGCCAAGATGGAAAACTAATATAATAGTAAATAATGGTTTAGTTTTTTGTTGTTTCTATCGCCTTGAATATTAATCATAAAAAATTAGCACAGCTACCACCAAAATGATTTGAGGTCGAAACCTTTCTCGTATCAGTTCGATTACATTTTCGACTAACCTCATTCAAACAAGGACGCTACGCGATTTAAATAAATAATTTACGCCTTATACGTACCATCCTCGCCGGCCGGAAGGTGAGCTCTTATAATATCGACGGCTTCGTGAGATATATCTTCCCTAGTAACATCTAAGGGAAGGGCGATCAATGATCCTTGTAATGGCACCGAAAGACTCTCTCTATGCTTCTGCCATGCTCTTATGACTCTGGCGGACGCACTATCATGGGGTGATCCAGAAGATGCACCCTCTTTCAACCCCGCAAACACGCGGAACCCCCGGTTCGCGAAGTGCATTGCAATCTAAAAACGCTCTCTACGTTATTTGAACTGACAATTCAAGCAACCCACCTGTAAACCTAAGGCATTGTCACACGATGTCACCAGTATAGGTTTTCCACCGCAGACCATATTCTCACCGGACTCCAGGCTGGAGTTGTTCCGGATCTTGCACAGTAGGTAAAGAAGTAGCGCACCCGCTATTGAAAATAAAGCTATCAGCTGTAATGCCAGAACTAGAGCTGTCTGCTCATCCATGTTGTTCTGAAAATGAGAGTAAAGAAAATTAACACTGATTGCATAGTTCATTAGCTGTGTATTGAATTAGTAGACCGCAATTCTTTGCCATTTTTACAATAAATTGGACGCAATATAAAAATGTTGATCTATTTGCGTTCTTACAGTGACCACCTGTTACTAAAGTAGTTTTAGAGTTCGATGGTACTAATGGATTTCGTTTTAATGGATTAACTGTTCACGTATTATTGTTAATTGCGCATCAGTTGTGAATGACCTTTAAGGTATTTAAAACGATATTTTGACATTTCCAACAATTTTTGAGGAGAACGTCCATTAATGTGAGAACTAATGCGTTGTCATACGACGATAAAAACAAGATAACTGTATACCCACGTATAACAGCAAAACCCAATTACCGAAACCTAAACTATAATTTAAATGTGTCGCCATGTACCGGAAGTAAACTTGAGAAATACGTCTTGTTAATTGAGAAAGTTGTCCAGAAATGATCGCAAAATCAAGCATTGGGTCGAAATCTCAAAGAAGAAATTTCGTCAAGGATGTTTCAGCAAATATACAAGGTGTAACTTAAAAAACGCGCAAGTGGAGTCAAAAATCAAAATGATTGCAAAAGATTCAATTTTTTTTTAATTACTACCATTGCGGTCCACCCGGAGTCAATTTAATGTTTTTTTAGATGTCTTGCCGTCATAAACCACGAAGGCTGATCACTGGCGTATTGTTTTTTCATAAAATGGTACGTAAATTGAGTAAAAAAGAAACTTTTAAGCTTGTTGAAAGAGAGCAGGAATGCTTATGGAATATCCGATGCTTTCAGCCAAGAATTGTTCAAAGTATTTTACCAATTATGTTACGATTTTAGCACTGAATCTTGTAATGTACCCCAGGAAGAGTTGGAAAAGAAGATAGAATGGACCAGAACGCGGAGTTAAAAAGAGATTCGGGCGGTCTCAGTTGCTCAATTGAATTGGTTGCATAAACATTCTTTCCCCTTACACTATTCGACGAATTTCATACTCATATCTGTACCTCACTTTTGAGGTGCCAATGTTCCACAGCAGTGCAGTTATTGCAGAAATCATCTTTTTGCACAATTTCATGTGGGTAATTAATCCTGAACAGGAAAAAATTGATTTTCAAAGTACAAGGTGACAATACTCTCTTCTATTTGCGACATCTATGAGTACAGTCTGCCCGATTTTACGACATAAACATAACCCATCATGCTCCTTTTTACAATTGTGGTTTGTTTAGTCGTGACAAACTATTTCTAATATTTGCCACAAAAGTATATAATTAATTATCCGCTAGATCAAGTCTGGTAATGAATAATTTACCCAATTAGACCTCTTCATTCGTAACCAGATGTAATGCCTATTGATCTTCGACTTTCTCGTACTCTCGATAAAATGAGTTTTCAAGATGATACGTTCCAATAATTAACAAATAGAATTAATTAGGTTTTGGATGCATTGAACGGTTATAGAAAATAATATACAAGCGTGTTTTAATCACCGCCTGCACTCAAAATTTAAGCTTTTTTTACAAGTAATAGTAGAAGCGACTTCATTACCTACTTTATATTATACCTACT